ACGTTTCAGTGACTACCCGAAGAGGCTCATTCACTGCCCCCTTATCTCACGAATGGCTGCGAGGCATTTTAGACAAGCTGAAGCGTGAAGTGGAGCTCAGGCAGGTGGTCGTAGTGTGCGAGAATGCACCATGTCACACACGTTTGGAAGCACTTTCGTCAGTCGAAGAACACGAAAGGGTTACCATTCTAAGATGAAGCCCATACTCCCCGTTCCTCAGTCCCATCGAAAATGTTTGGCAGGTGGTGAAGACCTGAGTAAAGAATGAAACGCGAATGCAGTACGATGAACTTATGGCCGGGGGTCCTCAGAACCTCATGACGCAAATGGCATGGAGGCTGTAGTCTTTGGAACGCATTGCCAGAACTGTAACCAGTGAGATCAGTGTTGTGGATGTCGTAATGCGATTCAACACATCCGTGTACATTTTCCTGATTGTTTGAAAAAAATGACGTGCTTTGATTACATATCCGGCTCATCACTTTAGACATCTGATTGTATAGCGTATACCACTAGGAGCGAGTAGGGACACGAGGAAATTCAAAGTCTCGGCGAAATATGTATGCACGTACGTATGGTTATACATTCGTACGGGGGTTGCAGCGATATCTGATGTCCAGCGTTAGGCAATGACATGGGACTGGCTTCCAATGAGACATGTGCGAGCGGTATTTATAACGTATCGTCCACTTCATACTGGTGTGCATCGCGCCTTACTCCTTCGCGAAAAACAGACAATGCAGATAGGGTTTGAGAATTCCGAAAACTAGGACGTCTGGAAAGTGAGTTGCCGAAATGCTGAAATTTATAGAAAGACATCAAAAAATCCACAAAGTACTGATACAGCAAAAATAATTGATATGGAACACCTTGCGCTGTCAGTAAGCCACCGGTAAGTGGATGAGTGTTATGCTCACGTTACTGTGATGTCGGGTCGGAGTGCAATTTATACGCTGCTAGAAATGGCCAGTTCTGCATTCGGGGGAACACTATGGCGTCCCGGGCAAATAGTGCACGTGGTCGCGTCCCATAACCGGTTTCCCTGCCGCGTTGTAATACAACCGGGCGAGAACTTGAGAAATGGATTCACACCTAAATACGGATGCATGCCTTGGAATTATGCTTCCTCGCGTATCTCTGTTGGCGTTTGGTGAGTAGGTGGTTAAGGCCTTTGATAAGGACGTAGCAGGCTTGACCGACATGAGTCGAGGTTGTGGTCGTTGATTGAGCGCCTAGCACGTAAAACCAGCGCGGGCGAATGGACGCCGATTTGCCGCGCGGCATGATGATCAATGCGAACTGTCAGAGCACATAGGGAATGTTTGTCACGATTTTAAGGGGAATATTTCCGGGAAGATCACCTATAGATTAGCAGCAGTTGTGTATCCACTGCTTATGCCACCCGGGACAGTTGTTCGCACCCCTGCCAGTAGGTAGTTGTGCAAAAGCACCACATCTGCGAACAGCGGTTCAATGGGGAGTGGCATAGAGCAACAACAATAACCGAAAATTTTAGAGTTCAATTGTAATTGTTGGCATTTGTTAATTGTTACAAGGCTCATGCACAAAATTTGCAAACACATGTGGCGCGAAAACTACCAATAACCCCATCTGATATGCGGCCCGGTGTAATATGCTCCCATTCCCAATGAGGTTGTGTGACAGTGTAACATTATTTCGCAATGACTTTGGAATCTATATTGATCGTAACATGATTACTATGTTATTCACGTGGGGAAGATCACCCGATGAATTATTCAAAGAAGGCCCGGATAACATCGAATGAGTGAATAAGTCTCGAAGACGGTCTAACACTGCCAGATGGATGGTATAGGGACTTTAAAAATTCGCTGTTCTGTATGTGATGTCCTATCATTACCACGTTTTACAACGTAGGACCATTTTGAAAAGCACCACAAAATGTGAAATAACAGATTATTGCACACCCTTTTTCGCGCTGGGAGAAATATGTGCCTTACACTGTTTGTCGGTAGTTCGCGCTCTTCTACCGTTGGCAATGCTATTTTTTCACAAATGGCAACAGGATTCCGGCGCTGATCGATTGTCGTGACACCCGCTCGTCTTGTCCACGGTATTGCCTCAGTGTAACACAGTCATGTGGACCACTCCGGCTGATGAGTTAATGTGTATCAGACAAAGGGGCAGGCACAGCCCTCCATGTGCAATGTGAGAACATCCATATATCTACGCCAACTGCACCCCATTCGTTTACAAATGCTATTGGGTCAAACGATGGATCATCCGAACGATCAAAACGGTATCCAAGTGTTGCTGGATAGCTGTCCGGGCATTTTAACCCTGGCAATTAGATTGGATTTGCTGTAGGTTGACTGGAAACCTAACGTACAGCTTCCGGAACTGTTGAAATGTGTTCCGAACTTTACAGACCAACTTTCAATCGGTTAACGCGCCAGTACACTATAACACAGGAGACATGACGTGCTCAGTCATTTCCTATTCCCAACTATTCGGCCATCCACGCTGATATCCCATACTGTGATATGTGTGATGGTTACTTCACCAGGAAAATTCACTTGGTCCTACAATGCACTTTGCGAACAGTTTTCTAAATACGCACCTATTTCTCGCTGGTTGCAGGTGAATGTTTTGAACACACGATCTGCGCTCACACCAGCGGTCATCAAGACATTCGGCGACGCCCGTATGAGCTTCACTCAGATCATTGTCCATACTGGGTTTCCGGAAAGACGACTGGAACATACGTCGTCGTGCGTGTACTACGCAGGGAGTGACACTGTACTTACGGAGGAATGCGTGCTAACATAGTATATACCTGGTCAACATATGAGGTCAAGCACGATAACATTTTGTCGGTGCCAGTGGCATGCTGGTACATGTCCTTACAGAGGACAGAGTAGGTGCGTGAAGGCCAGACGATCGGGTCGGAATAGCGTGCGGTGAGATGAATGATCGTTTGGGCCAATGAGGTCAGCGTAGCAGTTCGCTCCATAATGGAGGCACCTAACATGATAAGGCATCCTAAAAAGCGCTCTGAATTGGAGAAAACCAATTAAGCGTCCAATCCGCCGTATATTCCGTTGGATCATAACTATGCTTATTGGCTTAGCTACGTTGAGGAAAATATAGAGACGGCATTCTTCGCCGAAAGGAAAAGGTTAGAGTATTTTGTGAAAGGGTCAAGGAAAGGAAAAATTCAATGGACATTTAGAGCTATTGAGCTGCATACGTAAATAGCACCGAGGTGAATCCTCACCGCAAATTCGTATCTTGTTGAGAACCTTTCTTACACGGCCTATCATCATTGCCATCGATGAGCGGTTACAGAAGTATCTTCGGTCAGTTATGAACCCGAAAACGTTCACGGACTTGGCCACTGTCTCCATAAAGAAGGGACCTATTCGATGGACCGAATTTTGATTAGGGTTATTGGTGTTTTCGCACCAGGGTGTGTGTATGCAAATTTTGTGCAGGAGCATGGTAACAAGCAAATAATGCCAACAATTACAACTGAACTCTAATTTTTCGGTTATTTTTCTTGTTCTATGAAACGACCTATTGAACGGCTGTTCGCATATGTGGTGCTTTTGCACAACTACCTACTGGCAGGGGTGCGAACAACTGTCCCGGGTGGCATAAGCAGTGGATACACAACTGCTGCTAATCTATAGGTGATCTTACCGGAAATATTCCCCTTCAAAGCGTGGTAAACATTCCCTATGTGCTCTGACAGTTCGCATTGATGATCATGCCGCGCGGCAAATCGGCGTCCGTTCGCCCGCGCTGGTTTTACGTGCTAGGCGCTCAATCAACGACCACAACCTCGACTCATGTCGGTCAAGCCTGCTACGTCCTTATCAAAGGCCTTAACCACCTACTCACCAAACGCCAACAGAGATACGCGAGGAAGCATAATTCCAAGGCATGCATCCGTATTTAGGTGTGAATCCATTTCTCAAGGTCTTGCTCGGTTGTACTACTACGCGGCAGGGAAACCGGTTATGGGGAGCGACCACGTGCACTATTTGCTCGGGACGCCATAGTGTTCCCCCGAATGCAGAACTGGCTATTTCTAGCAGCGTATGAAGAGCCTGAAGAAGAATTAATCGAAAACAATTGTTCGCTTAAAGCTGCGTGTTTTGTTTATCTTTCTGAACTTGACGTAACATTGTTCATTCCTTCTGGGGTCTGATAGGTGTTCTTCACAGTCATCAAACGGCCATCCAGGTGTAGTGCGAATGTAGACTTTGAGATGTTCTCATCCGTATCCGCATGTACTCGGACCCGCATTTCGTGTAGTGTTAGAGTTGCGTCCTTCGCGATCCACTCCAGGATGTCATCAATCTGCGGGCTTACGGTCGCGCGCAAGCGTAGTATCCGTCTTGTGATCAAGAGAGCGACGAATCCAGGAGTAGGCAGTTTGATATTTCACATTGTTCACGGTTGTCACGAGCTGCCAGTCGTCACCGTTGACAAAGACATCCAGAATTCGGTCACGAATGCCTGACGAGATACACTGTCGAACACGAGAAGGCATGTTGACCACACTGTAATTAAAGACATCCATTAAGTCGTACGCTTATGTTCCGGCCGTTTATTGCTCGCAGACCAATTGTGATCCAACATTTCGGACGTGAGTGGGACGCGTAGTAGCTCGTGGCACCGCCCATATCCATGGACTCGAGGTTCATTCACAAGTCTCACTTGGTCAATGGGCAGCGCGGTCACTTCACTTGACTTACGCATCCAACCCTAGCACCCGGCCAATTAGAACATACTTGATGTGAGAGGATTGGCTCAGAGCGGCTGGCGAATCGTACAGGGTTTTTGCAAAAGTTTGAACTTTTTATGCAACCTTGCGGGAAATGCTGTAGTCGTTTGACTAATGATTAGTCATTGATGGTTATGCAATAGTGATTAGCTAATTAGTTACATATTTGGATGCAGATGATTATGTTATTAAGCCTATTTAGCGACTGATTGATGACCCAATCATTGTACTAATAGCTATCCCTCTTTAAAAGTCAGTTTACCCCTCTGGGTTTAATTACCCCCAGGTTATGAACTCCTGCTCCATGGGTTGGACAGCGAGTGAGTCGGTTAGGGCTATCGGACTCATTAAAAGTGCCGTGGGACTCTGTGTTGTGATATCTTGCTATATGATGGCATTCTTTCTGTACATTGAAAAGTTCCGGTTGTTTCAGAGCTAAACGGGTACTTTTGAGGTATGTACACATTGCCGTTTGATTTCTACTTGAATAGTACCGTAGTTAACTCTCAGCTTCGTTTTGGTTTGGACATGGAGTTTTTAGGAGTTATCCGAGCTTCGAGCGATTTTGTCACTGACAGCCCGGATCATAGTTATTCAACAAAACCGAACTGAACTGAGCCAATAAAGTGGTCAAAAATGATATACCGACGAGAACAAAATAAGATACCGTAACCCGGTGCCTTGGTAAGAGGCGGATTACGTTGACTGTAACGTTGGCTCGGAGAAATTGTGTAGCAAACCGAGAAATCAGAGATAAATAAATATGGCAGTACATCGCCGTCGATACGCTTTACCCGATTAGTGTTCAAGGTGGACGAAATGTTCATAGGAGGAGATATTGCACAAGTAGAGGTCAATTCCATGTGCGCGCGCGAATACACAAGCGACGAAATGGTGGTATAAATGGATCCAAAAACAAATCCACTACTCGCAGTGAAAAACCAGTTACCCGTCTGAAATCGATGGTTTGCAGTGTGAAATAAATGCAAAGCAAGATGTGATACACTTATTTGCCGCACTTCAGAGAAATCGGGAGGCACTTGGAAACGGATGTGCTGCACATCGACACGGTCAGTAAAATAGTCTGCAATGAGAAACCCTTCGAAAAGTAAGGGCAACCGCTTGGTGTGAAACCAAAGCAGAAATAACTCGAAGGGTCATGTATCGGAACACTCTGTTGAAAGAAAGCTTTTTTGTGCAGAGTCCAATTCTCTACTCGGACAAGGGGCAAGGGGGTAAGCTGAGACAAATTAAGAGCAGATAGGCACTGAGAATGGAATGGGCGATGTGCCCATCGTCCGAGAGACACTGAGTGCGTAATCACAGTCGAAGTGAGGAAAACCATTTTACAGCAAACAGTGCAAATGGATGGGCACAAATAACAGTTTCCTTTACACAATCAACGACGACGTTCATGAATAAGGTACACAATGAGGGCAAGTAGCAGGCCCGCCAGCATGGGTATAGCGTAAAAATCCCAATCCATTGTGATACGTGGATCAGATGTGACCGATTGTGCGTTCGTTTTCATGGACTCTGCACCCGCGGCGGATTCAAAGAGTGTGTTAAAGAATTTTACCTGAAGAATAAGAGAGAATGGGAAAATATGTACAGTGAACACGTCCCAGAGTTGAGACATGCATAGGGAGCTGATGTGAATATCAGTGTGTTCGAATTCCTGAAAAGGAAATCGATGGAAGCACGTGACACAGCATCGTGGTCCACTGAGTTGATCATTGAGGTATGAAACGGTTTTGGATGTCGGTTTGAGAAGCAATACATGTGAACGAAGATTTCAAGTGGATAGGATTTGTAGTGATCCTGCCATTTGGGACCAATGTCATTCGGAAATCTAGCATTGAATTGATAGATGAAAAAGTGAAACGTCGGTAATCCTTACATCAAAAACCAGTACTATAAACGGGAGAACAGGCTGATTTTGATTGTGCAGGCAAGGATGGTGACGAGTGGTAATCACAAGACCCATAACCTTGAGATCTAGCCAGGAGTATGTTATCAACACACATCAGCCTACTGAGCAGTGCGGTTTCAATGCAACAATGTTGGGGATACATTTCACACCGTCGCATTTTAACCTGAAACTCAAGCAACGACAGTGAAGGAGCGCCAAAGACAGGGTTGGCCGCTTGACGTCGGTTGAACAAAGCCAGTAATAGTTGCTCGCAACTGTACTATCCAGATAAGAGGATAAATGGCGTAAAAGCTAAGCGTATGATATCAAAACGTTTGGTGGAATGGTGACGAAGGAATAGCAAGAAACGACGCAATAATGCGACCCCAGTTGCGATTCAGTCTTGCCTTAACTGATGGGTTTAACCGTTCTTGGAGAAGAAATGGAAAAAGTAGATGGTAGTGGAGAAGCAAATATTGTGAAAAAACATGACATTTGCGAAATGCAAACAAGATCACGTTCCACGACAACGCCGTAGGTTCGTGAAGTCCAATGAGAGGCTGATGATCACAGATACAGTGATAAATGTTAGGCAGTTTGACAGACGGTAAAATTTATGCGGAAAACATCAAGATTTTTGTACTTCAGAGAAAGTTATGGTATCGGGGAAGCAAATGAAGGAAAACCAGTGAATACAAGATGAATTCACCCGTGCGAAAGCTCAAATGAAGATAAATCAAACTCTCGATGACGGACCGACAGCGCGCACTGCAAGGTATCGCGATAGCAAGCAAAATACCACAGAGGGAACGTACTACGGGCCATTCTTGCAGGAATTCTGTTCCGAATGACAAAGATAACTTCAAAAGAGCCAAAAAGACAGGAGCCTTCGCTTCAGAAGAAGCCTCTGCGGCCATATCGTAGTACCGTTTGGCAAGGTGAATGTCCTGTACACAAATCGCAGAAAAGGAAAAACAACAAGCTTGGATAATATTGACTTGCCTATTAACACATGCTCAATTGATCTCGGCTCTTAACGGAAAAAGTAAGGGAAAACAGCAAAAAGTAAGCAATGGAACACACACTTTGGGAAACGAAACCTGCAAAGCACAACGCGTTCGACTGTAGCCCAAGACCAATGAGATTAAGGCCAAACAAAAGGCGAGTGATGCGGAGGAAGAGACAAGACGGTTTAGACGCAACAGTACATCTCATACCGATTGGCATCATCCGAAAAGGCCGTTAAAATGGCATTCAGGGTCGCTTAAAACTTAGACTTGATTTGACCGAATAATAAATGAGTTACTGAAACGGAGATTAATTTTAAGAGAACAAGGGAATAAGCGAATTTAGACTACCGATAACAACTTGAAGCAGTTGATCGTGATCATCATCATCATCATCATTATACATGTCAGCTAGAGGTGGTGAAACACCTCCGCTATTGTACCGCAATATATAAAGGAAATACATACATACATACAATATATAAAGGAAAAATAAATACGACGGCTGCATGCCAGCTGAGCTACCAGCAACGGATAGACATCGTTCCGGTAAGCTACCAGATACTAGGCAAAAAAATTTATTATGTTTTACCCTACGAAATGAGATCGTAGATGGAGGGGGAGGCTAAAAGGGATGGGGAGGGACAAAGAAACTCACAGCACGAATGCCACTGAGGTCGGCTCCTTGCCATATCAGCAAGTGTATCCAGCCAAACGTGTTCATCGTCTTTTGGACCCCAACCAGGGAGCCGTGAAGCTCCAACCGAGGCTAGCTCAGAAGTGAGAGACTTCATTGCTCTGGACCAAGTCATCGCTTGGCCACCCCTCCTCTTCTTCCACCCACATCCCCGATGAGCAAACAACGCGCGTCGCGGGAGTCGGTGGACTGGAATGCGCAACACGTGGCCCAGCCATCGGAGCCTGGTGCGGGAAATAACGGTGCTGAGCGGTTCATTCCCTTTTCCTGGGCCGTAATCAAGGCTCGTTACTCACGAGGTGTTCCCACCAGATGTGAGCCAAACTGCGAAGGCACCGATGGTCGAACGTAACTAGCCTCTTCATGTCCGCCGATCTTAGGGGCCAGGTTTCGCAACCGTACAGTAAGGTCGAACGTACCGCTGCATTGTACACTCTACCCTTCAGGGCGAGAGTAACGTCGCGCCGCCGCCATAGGTGACGAAGGTTAGCAAAAGCACTTCGAGCTTTTGCTATACGGTTCGTGATCTCGTCTTCGATCCCAAGGGCGCTGATACAACTTCCCAGGTAACTGAATTTCTGAACGACCTCTAGCTGATTCCCACCAAGGGTCAGCACAGGGGGCGATCCCCGCCAATCTTGGAGGAACGCTTTGCACTTCAATGGTGCAAAGCAAAGCCCGAAGCGGCTGACAGCCAGTGCTAATCTGTCCAGCGCGGCTTGGCACGTCTGGGAGCTGTCACAGATGAGGGCAATGTCGTCTGCATACTCCAAGTCAAGAAGTCATTCTCCTGGGAGTTGCTCCACACCTTCCAAGTCATGTCCTGTAAATGAAATCTCCATGACTTCGTCAATAGCGAAATTGAATAGGAAAGGTGACAACTGGCATCCTTGTCTCACACCGCTGGAGATATTGAAGGGTGGCGACAGCCTGCTGTAGGCCCTCATTCTGCATAAGCTACGCGTGTATCATACTTGGATAATATTTACATATTTCTTGGGCACACCTTTCCTGAGTAGACAATTCAAAGGGCACATCGATCAACCGAATCGAAGGCACCTTCGATGTCGAGGAACACGACTACGGTGGGCGCCAATATGTGTGACGGTGCTCCAGCAACTGACGCAAGGTGAAGATGTGGTCGATGCACCCACGACCACGATGAAACCCGGCTTGCTCCTCACGAATCTGGCTTTCAAGAGCGCCAGTCAGTCTGTGAAGAATTATGGAGGCAAGTAATTTGGAGGTGATAGAGATCAGACTGATACCTCTATGGTTGCCCCATTCCGAGCGCGAGCCTCCTTCGAAGATGGGAACAATAACGGAGCGGCTCCAGTCGGTTGGGACAATCTCCTGCTCCCACAGTTTCACTAGTAATTCATGTAAAGCATCAACAAGAGCAGAGCCTCCGAATTTGAAGAGAGCTGGAGGAAGATCATATGGTCCCGCGGCTTTGTTCAACTTCAACAGTCCGATCTCACGTTCGACTTCTGAGCGAGAGGGTGGATCCAAACGGACAGCCCACGGAGCAGGGCGATCAGTGACCGGCGAATGTAACAATTCTAGCCGATTAAAGTGCTTTTCAAAGTGCTCAGCCCAACGCTCCAAACGTTTGGACAAATTGTGGATAGGCTGTCTACTCTCATCACAAATTGTTTCACTAACACCAGGTCTCCTGCTGCCCATTTCCCGTATCAGACGGAATAACTTACCATGGTTGCCAAGGGCAGCGGCCACTTCCATCTCTGACGCACGAAGAGACCACCAAGATTCGCGGTCTCTCTTCAGGCTAGCACGGAGTTTTGCCCGGAGCTCTTTGCGAGTTTCATTGTGTTCACTTCCAGTCGGGATATGCCGGCGAGCATCTATAAGTTCCAGAGACCGAGAAGAGACCCAATGTCCATGTTGGCTATTAGACATACCACATGAGGATTTGCCTGCTGCTAGTAAGGTCTGGCGAACATGTGACCAGTGACCATCAATTGTCTCCAGTGAGCGATTACTCAACTCGCATGTCAGCGTACTTCGATACGCATTCAGAACAGCTGGCTTCATCAGTTGGCTGGTGTCAATGCGCTCACATCGTCGTCGTGGGCGTCCGCCAAAACGCATCCGCATGTCAGCATATACAAGTGCATGATCGGTGTCCACACCTGTGCTCCAAATCGAGTGACAATGCTGGATGCAGCCTCTCCAGCGGTAACTGATAGCAATGTGATCGATCTGCGTCTAAGGCTGGTTCGACGCTGGTGGGCGCCAAGTCACCATCCGGCGGGTGCTGTGTCGGAAATTAGTGCTCGCATGAAATAAGCCAGCATCTTCACACAAATGAAGTAACCGCTCACTGTTATCAGTACGGGAGCCTACACCGTGCTGACCGCCCAGGTGCATTTCATCAGTGGACAACTTTCCAACTTGTGCGTTCATATCCCCAGCCAGCACAACAGTGTCCGTGCTTCTTCTGTGGCGAAGGAGATGGGTCAGTTGGCGGTAGAAGTCGTTCTTTACCGAATCATCGCTACAGTTTGTGGGCGCGTAGGCAGCGATGATGAATAGACATCTATTAGTCCCGCGCGACTTCGAAGCTTTAAACGAGCCAGCCAATCGGACCACACACATCCGGCTACTGATTGGAATCCAATCAACCAGAGCAGTCTTAGCCCGGGGACTCAAGGCAATACCAACACCAGATTGGCCGGTGCTCGAAGCTGCATCGTCACCGGATAGGCGCAATGAGAAAATACTGCTTGCGTCACCTGAAGGAGATCGCAGAGTGAGCACAGTGCTCGAGTCTTGCAGGCGAGTCTCTGATAAGCAGCAGATATCGATCGAGAGGGTCTCCAATGTTCGGGCAAGTGCTGCCTGTTGACCGATCTGTAGCAGTGTGCGTACATTGAGGCACGCCAATCTGAAGGAGGATCGAGGGCTCCAAATGGAAGCCGATGAACTGGAATGGACCGCTTGGTTGGACATGGGCTTGTCGACAGGAGAGGATTGACGCTCCGCGTCCACATGTGAGTTGAAATTAGAAGGTAAACGCCTAGCAAAGCATGTTGAGACACGGCCAAGAATCAGGGGGTTGAAAACTGGGGGGATAAAAGTGAAGTTGGAACGGGACGTATTAATGGTGTATCACCATAAATACATTAACCGGTCGTTTACCAAGTTTTCTGAAATGATAACTTCCCGATCGGTTCCAAATATGTTCCAATATATTGGAACGGGACGGTAACAGTGGAAAAGCGTAAGAGAGGAAATAAGAAGACGGGAATGCTTGAGCAGTAGCATCCAAACCCCCTATCCAACCTGCTCGATGCAGCAGATGGGGCACCGTTCATTATCCTCTGCGGTGGCCAGAGCATCAGAAATTTGTTTGAAGTGTGATTCATAGTATTGCGTGGGCAGCATACTGTCAGGTTGCCCAGGCCTAGACAGGAGAACGATTAGGGTTCTCATCCAAAGCCTTTGGTTCAAAAACCTGTCCGCAAGACAGCGGGTTTGGCATTGGGCTACAAGGAGTCCATTATAAGGAATAAGGAGCCACTCTCATTCCAACCCCCAACCTGGAGGACCAGGAGGCTGAGTTTATCTGGCCTCTAACCATTGACCAATCTGGTATGAGTGACTCTGAAGGTGCAAAAGCACCACCCAGCATACCTCAATGGATCGTTGAGGCACACAAACCATCGCACCACGGTAAGATCCAGCCTCACTGCGATGGAGTCGATGCGCAAAAGTGAAAGCTGCAGGGAAGTTGTCCCTGCGCTGAAGCCTTATCTTCCCATGAGTATGAAAAGAGCTTAACCGAAAACAACTCTTTACTCAGCATCGGTTTCACTCTTTGATTCCAGCTGTCTGTGACCAAGTGGTGCTGGCAACGTGTAGGGTCTTTGATCCGGAATAGTTCCTAATGGCATTTAGGTTGCAATTTAGGTCGCCTTCCCCCTCTCTTCTTATCCTTCATTCCCTCCGCAGTCATAAGTGTGGGCTATCTCACCGAACAACCTCCACGTGTGCCAGCTGCGTGGCTCAGGTTACACTTCTCCAGAAAATGGTTCGGCTGCAGTGTTCTAGAACGTAGTGGATTTTATTCTGTTTAACAACAGTGCGGTGGGGCGGATGTGACTCGTCATAACGCAAAATGCCTGTCTCTTGCAACCTTATGGAGCATTGTATTCGGCGATTTGTAACTGAACTTGTGAAGATGATTGGGTTCTTGATTGTTAACCCGACCAAACGAAAA